TGAAAATCAAACAAGTCGACCACAAACTGAGAGAGAAGAGCTCAGCAAGCGAGAGGAAGTGCACAGACAGGAAGTGGCAGCTTTTGTGTCCGCACACAGCTGAAAAACAATACGATGCTCAGCCTGGGAAACTCCACACTAATGTTTTCATTAATGCATCAGCAACCTTGCAGATATAAGAGTTCTAAACATTCAGAAAACTCTAAAAGAATGTGGTTTCCTGCCTGCTTCTCCTTTTCCCTGATGACACTTTTACACTCCGTTATAATCCGGTTAAGCTAATAGGCTTGACATGATGTTATCCTCTCATCTGGAGCATTTCATTATGAGTTTTGACTTGTTACAGAGCTGCATGACAGGACAGTAGATTGTGAAAGCAACAGTTGCGACAGAGCAGTAGTTCATAAGCACAATAGGTATTCTGGAGAAGCGTTTGCCAATTTCTAGGGTAAACAATAGCTATAATCAACCTTTCTTTCCTCTGAAGGAGCAGCTTGCCTTATTTTATATCTTAGACTAGAAGATACACAGTCTTTATTTATGTCTGATACAAGTAAGTAAAATATTCTGGAAAAGATACAAACAAATATGAACTATGTGCATCAAAAAGAGTCTCCGAATACAATTAAAAAATGAATTAATACAAATATTGTCAAGTGTTTGTACACTTATGTATATTTTAATTATACACAGCTATGTTCCCATGAAGAAGCAGCTTGTTTTACATCTTAAACTTGAAGATACACCCCTTTCAGACATGTAAAATAATCTATTTCCTATCAATCATCTTGAAAAAAAATTGTTTACCATAAAAATAGGGTGTTTAGTGAGTTACTACCACAGGGTGAAGCTGGGCAAAGGCTAGAAGAAGTCTGTGTTATCTCACCAAACTCATGACAGTGCTTCTAGGGTGCAGTTCTTAGGTTAAACGCACCCTAAGAAAGTTTAACAAAGTTTGATTTCCATGGCTCACCTTCTCCTGAGCTCGGTTCAAAGACTTCTGGAACCGCTTGGCGAAGATCCCAGCTCCAGCCTGGAGGTTCGGACCCATTTTATTCTCTGCCATGTTTTAAAATGTTCCGTTAAACACAAGCAACCCGCCTCCCGTCTGCTTCCTCTTGAGAAACTGCCCTCACGGAGCCTCAAATGCGGCTTTAATTCAAGGCGATGGAGGTGGAGCAACAAGACACAAAACAGGCGGTGTCAAACCCCAGGAATAAAGCTCTTTACATCATCATCTCCGCATCATGGAGGAGGAGGAGGAGGAGACTCTTGTTGAAACTTGTCGGAGGAATTATTGAGGAGACTTGCTGATCTGCTGGAAAAACATCGTTTAGAAGTGTTGCAAAACGGCACCCCCCTCCAGGCTGTGTGTGCGGTAAAGGTGGAAGTCATCCAACGACACTCACCTGCAGAGTATGTGAGCAGATTGCGGCTGATGACGCGGACCTGAGTCTGCAAAGTGACGTCAGCAGGCGAGCCGCAGGTAAATGTGTGTCTGAAGAAAATATTGTACCTTTTTTTAATCACTATTTTCTTTTTATTTCTTCATACTGTATATATTTAATCTAATGCCAATATGTGTGCGTAGTATATCTTTATATTCCTGCAGCTTAGTGAGACTGTATTGAGTACTCAATTCATTCAATATTGACTTTATATTGTGTATTATGTAAATACTCTCGTGATATATGTCCTTCCTATTGTGAATTTGTATATAATTTCTGCTTAAAATGTTTTATTTTTACTTGCCGCTAAAATTCATTTTTACTTTGATTATATTTGCATCTTTTTTTTGTATGTGTTTATGGATTTTTCACATTTATCACATTAGACAAACACAACCGAACTTTCCCCAACATTAGACATATGGCAGAGTACAAAATAATACAAATAACAAAAACATTAAAGAAATACAAATAAAATCTCTCTATATGTTATAAAAATACTTCAAATCAAATAAAAAAGATAATTGATCAATTGAAAGTAAATCCATCGTCAAATGCACATTTTTAACTCGTGTTTTGCTAGACAACATTTTTTCCCAATAAATAAAGTAACTATCTATCTATTTATAACTTTTTGTATGTGTACCTTTTGTGTGTATATAATGCTGCAAAAACCTTTAATATTAAAAAACAGACACTTTAAGATGAAGGTTTCTCATTTCTCTAACCGCCTGCTGCTTCCCCTCCTCTCTCCTTGGTTCCCCTCCTAGACTCCTCGGTTCCCCTCCTAGACTCCTCCGCTCGAATTAGAGAAATGAGAAAGGGCCTATATGTAACAAAGTTTCCGTTATTATTGTTTTCTATGGCAATGTGTTGCAAATAAAGAATGTCAAAAAAATAGTGGCTGAAATGCTGCCCTCAAGTGGGCCTCACAAATTCAGTATTTTAGGGTACAAATTAGAATTTATTTACACTTATGTACATTTGAATTATACACAGCTACTGTGTCAGGAAGTTATAAAAGTAGATGAACTATTCTGAGATTACATTACATTACATGTCACTTGTTAGACGCTTTTATCCAAAGCGACTTACAGGGTGTTTCTCAATCCCGAGTAAAGCTGCTCCAGAGCCACTATTTCAAGCATACTACGTCATCGAGTGCCGCCGAAGTACTGTTCCAATCTCCAGCATACTTGGAAATCTACCGAGCCCGGCGTACTCCGTTTGGAGAAATTTCGAGGCTGCACATGAGTAGACTCCGCGGTCTTAAAATCCCCACAATGCTTTGCGCACGGACCAATTTCCCCAAATCTGTGGCGGAAGATGTAAGGCGGGGCCTCTCATATGACACACACTTGCACACTTGCTAGCGTGCTCCACTCTTTGTTTTCCAAATGTCAGGAAGTATTCTTGACTCGCTTCTGAAGCAAGATGCTCGGCAGACATGTGCTACCAAGCAAGCGTACTCGCGATTGAGAAAAACCCACATTCTCAATACTGTGGACAATCCCCACAGGAGCCATTTGGGGTGAAGTGTTTTGCCCAGGGACACAACGACATCCTGGGTGTTTCTCAATCGCGAGTACGCTTGCTTGGTAGCACATGTCTGCCGAGCATCTTGCTTCAGAAGCGAGTCAAGAATACTTCCTGGCATTCGGAAAACGAAGAGTGGAACAGGCTAGCAAGTGTGCAGGTGTGCGTCATATGAGCCTTCCGCCACAGATTTGGGGAAATTGGTCCGTGCGCAAAGCATTGTGGGGATTTTAAGACCGCGGAGTCTACTCATGTGCAGCCTCGATATTTCTCCAAACGGAGTACGCCGGGCTCGGTAGATTTCCAAGTATGCTGGAGATTGGAACAGTACTTCGGTGGCACTCGATGACGTAGTATGCTTGAAATAGTGGCTCTGCAGCAGCTTTACTCGCGATTGAGAAACACCCGCTGACTGCAGTGGGGTTTGAACCTGTGACCCCCTGATCCGAACACCAAGGCTCTATCCACAGCGCCACACGCCTCGATTAAAGTCGAATTTTCTCAGAACAAAACAAATACATTTTATTTTTTCACATCCTCATGTGGCCCTACTCCTCTTCCGTAGCATCAGCATAGAGTCTCCAAAAATGTAATAAACAAATAAAATAACAATAATAGAAAATAGAATACAAGTGTTCATTTGGGCCAGATAACAATATGATCAGTAGGCCTACAGCACTTAATCACATTGTTGATCTACAATAATCACTGAGTTAATCTGCGTCTAAACGTGTCTGAACATGGAGTTGGCTCTCACTTTTTCCACTTTCTATTTGCCATTGTTTGTGCCAAGATAAAGATATTCATTTGTTTGCCAACAAAAACAACGTCTATTAAAACATCTAGGCCTACATGACCTGAATGACGCACATGCTGTCACAGGTTCTGATTATTGATTACACTTCTGATTAACGGTTTCATTTCTTTGAGACGATCTGAGCTGCTCTGTTTGCTGAGTTGACTGTTGTTGACATTCTGCGTCGCACAATGGGACTGACGTTTATGACCCAACCCAATGTGGCATGGTTCACAGTAAGGAAGCAAGATGCACAACATGTCATTTGACGAAAATATATTCAGTAAAGTACTATAGGAATTGTGTCCTTAACCCATCGCATCCATTCATTACACTGACTAAACGCAGGTGTGCATGGAAAAGCCAGTTTGATGTAATGTAGATATATATATTTGTAAATAAGTGCACCAGATTGATGCTTTTAACTTCAATAATTAAAAAAAAATCTTGCCGGGGGAGCTCGTATGGGGATAGACTGTATATATAAAGATGGGGATACACAATCCACCTGCTGTCATTGGCTAGTTTAACCAATAGATGGCGCTAGATACCTGATTATTGCACATTAACCCACACCAATGTAGGAATAGAAACCTGAAATGCTCAGAGCTACCACTTAATTATTATTATCAAATTACGTTTTGTCTTCTTTGCTTCGTTTGTATCTCAGTTTAGGGTTAGCTGTCTTCGAAGGACGCCTGTATGACTGCTTATTTTAGTTGTCATCGTATTTATTTATGTTACACTACAAACGCGCCTTATTAAATATTGTTGTCTAAATAAACATTTAGCTTGTCCCTAAATGTTATGTATTCCACAATGAGTTTCTTCCTCTATTTAAAGCCCTTTCAAATGAATCAAAAACAAAAATGCAATTAAACTGTTAATCACAATTGAAAAATATTATGTATGTAAAAAGCCCTAGCCCTTGTATGTACTTCACTTTATTTGATTACTTTAAAGTATTTGTATTTGTTTCTTGTAAGTGAAAGCTTTTTTTGTTATGTCATGCCTTTTTCCAATAAAGATCTAAAAAAAAAAAAAAATAGGCGAGAGTCTGTGACGTTTCGATAGATGTGTTCGTTTTGTTGTAAGACTTCCTCCGCGTGGGTGGAGTTCTTCCTGTTTACAATGACGAGCAACGCAACAGGCGGGGAACACGGTGACTCAAATCGAGTGCTCCCAAAGCATCACGGCAAGCCAAGAAATGCTCAGAGCTGTTTGGCGCGGTGTATAGACAGGCGGCTGACGGCAGTTGGACAGGAACGGAGGAGGTCACAACCGGCGACTTTTTTACATTTCCGCTTGGATAAAAGTCCCAGGACACATTGGTGGATTTATTAAAAGATTGTTTCTTCGGTTTAACGTTTTCCTCCAGCCGTCTATCGAAGCTTGCCCCTGTGCAGGCGGACGGAAACACCTTGAAAAATGCCTCCCATCGAAAATGACACCGGGAAGAATGATCTGAAATCCCAGATTCAGCTGCTGATCGACTCCAACCAAGTCATGGTTTTCAGTAAGAGCTACTGTCCGTATTGTGTGAAGGTAAGCGGTTTATTCTGTCTATTTAAGTTAGCCTTGCTTGGCTAGGAAACTTCCATCCACTGCCATGAAGTAGTGAATGGGCTCCGTCTAATTGCTGCGTGATCCTTTCACGTTACCACAGACAGCGGCTACTGAGGTTAAATGCAGTTCAGATTACAACACATTAGACAAGTCTCAGAAAAGGTGGAAGAAGTTCTCAGATCTTGTACTTTTGTAAAAATAGAAGTACCAGGGTGTACTTTGTTACAAGTACAAGTCCTACATTCAAAATGTTACTCAAGTAAAAGCACAAAAGTATTGGCATACAAATGTACTTAAAGCACTTGTATCTGTGTTTCTTCTTATTTTTATTTTTTGTGATTTACCTATGCTATTTGTACAAAAAAAAAAAGATTTTATATTCTGAACAAAGTGGATCTGTTTAATTAAATAAGCTGTAAAAAATAATAATATTTTTGAGTAGATGATATAACCACCTGGTCCTAGTCCGACGAAGGGCTCCGTGTAATTGCTGGGTCATCCTGTCACGTTACTACAGACAGTCGCTTTGCTGGAGGTTGAATAAGAAATATGTTTGCTACAAGTTGATCAAGATAGCAGTTTGTTCGCATTTCCTTGTAAAACGTTTGCAAACTTAAATAATAAAGAGTGTTGGAAGAAGTACTCGGATAGATTACTTAAGTAAAAGTGCAAATATCTGGGTTTCTTACAGCTCCTTTCTTTCATTCGCTTTCATAACTTACACGCCAAGCGATGTTATCCAACAATTGACATGAATAAAGGGTTTTAATAAGCTTGTTTACTAATTGAATGATGAATTTGGAGTATTTGTATGTCAAAACACTTAAGTGAATGTTGTGTTATGGCTTTCTTGTGTAATTGGAGAATTTGTAACATGTGACTGAAGAAATGAATGTATTTTATCTTGTAGGTGAAAGACTTGTTCAAAGAGCTGAAACTCGAGTTTAATGCGATGGAGTTGGATCTTATAGGTGAGAAATTGCTGACAAATACTGTACCTTAAACACTCATAACAATTGTCTTTATCTGCTTACATTATAGTGTTTAGTTGAGTGCTTCTGAAGGGCTTTTTTCTGGGGTTTAAAGTCAAATGATACCCCTATTACTTTGCCTAATTTAATAGGGTGTTAATATAACTTACATGTCCATGGTTTTAGCTTAAATCTGGATGTTTTCCTCCATGCTACAGCCATGGTGTTGTACTTTGCAGCAGCAGAAAATGCTGAGTCACTCCCTGAAGATACCTTGGCCTCGTGCCAGATCTCAGGACACGGCTCTGTCTTTAGAGCTAATCATTTCACAGTTTTACATTTGTTAAAGGAAGTATATGGAGATGTTTAATCATTGAGTTATTAACCAACTTAATCTCTATTATGAATACAATTGACCTCACCTAAAGAAATGTTTTTCCAGTATGTAATGCTTCAGCTAGATTCACAATATTTAAATTGTAAGGACATTTATATCGGAGGCAAATTATACCACACAAGGGAACTTAACAAAGTCATATCCTGCTGCTAAGGCAGAAAATAAGTGTGTAAACATATTCACTGTTAATGGAGTGTAAGATTATGTGTCTAACCTCTTAGCAAAGCTCTGGTTTACTTCCTGTTTAAATGACTATGGAAATTAAACTCATCAGCTTTGCTTTACTATTAGACTCTGACTGTAACACACTTAACTATAGTTTTAACTGACTACTTGCACACTTTGAAAAGTAGATAACAGTTTAATCACAGCCTGTGTTTGTGTAGTAAGAAGCTAAGATGTAAGCACAGACAGGAAGTTGTGATTATAAGACACATTTTCTGACTGTCATGCTTCCCCCTTTTAGCTATTTAGGCCTATCCTGTGTCTATTACTCATACACTATCATATGAAAAGCAGATGTATTAAATGATTGTCATTCTTAAACGGCAATTTTAGGTTGCATTTGAACAACAATAACCCTTCTGTTTTAGAGGATGGAACCAACTACCAGGATATGCTGCTCGAGATGACCGGACAGAAAAGTGTTCCCAACGTCTTCATCAACAAGACGCACGTGGGCGGCTGCGACAAAACATTGCAGGTGAGGAGTGGTTATCTTATTAAATGTCTTAAAGAGAGTCAAATGTTCTCGGTATAAAACACCAGCAAATTCATATCTCCTTAGGGGACATGTTACTCAAACAAGTGGCTCATTTAAATGGTGTGAAAACAAGTCTATTTGGCTCGAAATGAAGCTGAACCCACTACTTTTATCCCACTATTAGGGTCTCATGATTTAATAAAGTAAGACTGAAGCACTCTGTGCACCGAGTCAATCCTCCAATTAAATACAGAGTTAAATCCCAGTTCAAATGTACGTTAAAGGGCCTTGAACTTATTGTCTGCAGTGGTTGCAATAGTATTTTGGATTTCTGTTTCCTTGTTGACGTTGCAAATGGAGCTGCAGTGATGCAAGACATACTTAAGACTTGATCTGACAACAAAGTATTATCTCATCGTCTTGTTTTTGCTCAAATATGCCTTGTGAAATGCAGCGTGTCCAAACCGAGGAACACAAGAACATTCAGTAGATCTTTGTCACAGCAGACGGGACAGAAAGGAAAGAGTTGACGAGAAGACAGGCCCATCATAAGCAACGGATGTTCCTTTTGAGGAAATACTTAGTAACGTGAGATAATGTCTGCATGACGACACGCTTTGAAGTGATCTAATGCAGTGAGATGATGTGTTTGAGGACGTTTGAGCTGCTTTATGGCATTAGGACTAGCCAGTAAACGTGTAAATGGAGAGCAGGCGGACTGTATAACACTGAGAACTAATAATCAAGCGACAGCAGGTCATCCAGTAACTTTTACGTTGAATTCAACCTCCACAGGCTATTGGCTCTTTTCCCTTACAGGAACTTTAAGCTCCTCATACCCTGCCTGACCCTGTACGACCCCTTAAGATCTAGGATTTATTCCAATGTGTTTTTAGAAACAACATTTTCAGTTCATTCATTATTTCATTGAGAGGATGACTAGGATATGTTCTTATATCGTGCTCCTTGCGTGTAAGACGGACAACAATGGAGAAGTATTGATGTTAAATGATCGGAAGAGCTGGAGAAACTAACGGTTACATGAGACGTACTGTTTTTATATATACACATGTTGTATGGAGGTCTATGTGCTGATTTTACGAGACTTATTGTCAAACTGGCACTGTGCTGGTTGAGTTTTAAAAAGCACCCAACATGTTTTTTTTACTATTTCTATCCATTATATATCTATTTCTTACGGTCGGCTGGTTAATGTAGCCTTAGTTTTACCGTTGACTTCATTAGGGCTGTCAGTAACAGTTTGTTTATATGTTATATTAACGGCCGCCAAAGTATATTTTTGTATCCGTCCGCGAGCACGACACCATCTACGATCGATTAACTAGTGGACAATGATCCCTGGCTCTACGCCTCTTGTACCTGTTCGCTCTGCTATCGTGTGAAAGGTCTGCTAACAAGCGACCAACAGAAAGGGAGACCTTACGAGAAACAGAGGAGTCGCATGTTGCTGCACATCAGTAATGTGCAAATGCGGCGCAATTCTGCACTCCGAAGTAACCCCGCTGCGAGGCTACAACTACAACAAGATGGACATATTTGACCGTGATTTAATTGTAATACACGTTTCAAAATGATGCCGAAGTAACAACATACTGATACCGGTTAGTAAAAACCATGAATTAATGCTTTGTCAAGTCTGCAGACAGACGGCAGGCGAAAAACCTTTTGAAATGCGTGTGTTCTAAATGGAGATTGGCTAAGCTAACGCAGTATATGCTCCGACCGTCCACACTCACAACAACGGCCTATACAGACATAAATAAAGCAGCGACTGTATTCGCCATGACACAGGCAGTCTGTGGTTTGTACTTGTTTAACTTTTAACTTTTGTCTAGTTTCTGAACAGATATGAGGAGCTGTGAGCTCTGAGTGCTAACAGCTAACGGCTGTGTTGTTTTTCTGGGGTTCTCATTGAAGATGACGTCACGGCTCCGC